AACTGGCTTTGTAAAAAATGCGGTTTATATTAGTGTTGGACACAAAATAACATTAACAACAGCTCTTGATATATTCAAATCAGTGACTAAATATCGTAATTGTGAACCAATACGACAAGCTGATTTACTTAGTCGAGAAATGGTTGCTAAACTTGCATAATTAAACATTTTTTTAAATTTTTTTCTTCTAATCTGGAATGTTGGTTAAACATTTAATCTGACTTTTGGTTTTAAAAAATAAACTTTATTCAACGTTTGAAAAATACTAACTTTAGATACATCATTTGTAAGAGAAGAAAATCAGATATATCAGAAAATATGCATATTTAAGTTTAAGTTGTTTAATCATATTAGGAAATCATTTAGATTTACATTATAAATTTCAACAAGATGAAAAGACTACAAAATTTAGTGTATTGCATTAAAATGAATAAATAAATATTATAATGTATGACTCTGTTATTGTGCAATAATTCTTTTTTACTTTTCGAACATATTGAAATAAGAACATAAACAAACGTGAACCTGTTCCTACTACTTTTTTTTGCTTACATAATAAGGTGTGTATTTTTCACTATATTAAGTATCAAAATATGTGGATAAATTCAAATCGGGAAGATTATTTTTCAGAAAAACCTAAATTGGATAAGTCAGATATAGTAAAAATACTCATCAAACAAGTACGACTTCACAACCTGAACACTCAAATTATTTGCGTGATTACTCAAACAGTTTTATGTGTATGAATACTGTTCGTACATTCGAACGAGTTTTTCTCTACAGATTTACTCATAGACAATGATGCCAGTGCTCAATGTGGTAGTCATGTTTGTTTTTTTTTGGTAAAATATTCATTTAGATTTAATTTTCTAAATTTAGATGACAAGTTCTGTATTAAAATTCAGATTTTCAGGTTAACTATAAAATGCAATGGAACAAACAAATTAGCAACTCTTACTACAAGTGAATTTCTATCGAAAACCAATCTGACAGCTGCATAATACTATAGACAAAATTTTTTTTTTGTGTCTTAATCCGCATTAGATGTTTTCTTGTAATTAGAATTTCCTGTTTTACGCAATAATTTATTTTTCATTTTTCTTTCCGTATATTTTACTGTTCTCAATCTATGTTTCCGTGTACTCTTACTTGATGAGATGAAGATAAAGAAGTCTTCGTGAGTAACGAAGAAAGTTTGATATTCATTTATTTTGGTAGCATAAAAAAAGAGATTTTATTTATTTGTAAAACATCAAAAAGGAGATTAAAATTTTAAAAAACATGAAAATTTACTATCAAAATAACATATCAGATTCAAATATGGAAGGATAGGACAGATATGATTGTTTCTAATATGAAATCAGAAATCATCAAGCTGTATGATTCTTCGTTCATTCTTTTATACCTTCTTGTTTCTTTTAATTGTAATCATTTTTTCCTGAACTTTTCAAAATAAATAAAACCACTAGAATACACAAAAATCTATATAGGAGTAATCGAAATCCGCAAACTACTCATCAAGTCTCGCAGCATTTTGTTATGTGAGTACTTCCACTAGTAAATCTAAGGATTGTTGAAAGGATATAAACAAAATATTTAAAATTAACGAAGATCTAACAGAATAAAACAAAATAATAGATGATTTTATTATTCTATATAGTATAATGACTATCAAAAAGTAATGCAAGATAAAAGAAAGTTTTCAATATGATTTCATAGTAATATTTTGATGTTTTTTGTAATAGTAAATAGATAATTTCATAGATATGAAAGATTTTTACAACACTTAGTTACGTTTATTAATAATAAAACAATCGTGTTTATGAAGCAAGAAAGTGAAATCTCAATAGACTAATATGATGCAATAGTCTTACAAATATATTTGCATTCTATTAGTTAAGTTCCTATTTTACGTAGAATTGCAAAATATATTCTAAATATTTGATGATTTCCTTTTCTGCAATTACTTTCTCTGAAGATGACTCTTTCGAATCTCGATATGAGTTAACTTATTATGTACTAATTTCATATAGATTGCGCAAGATTCAATTATATATAAATATTCTTTCTTCTCTGTCCACTATACAAAACGAAAAAAAAGGCATTGTCATAGCGTTTATTTTTATTTTTTTGAGATGAATAATTATTTAAACAAGTTTTGAAATGAAATTTCTCATTTCGCAAAGATATTTTATTTTAATAATATTTCTTGTTTAGATTTTATAACTGGTATATTTATTGATAATTTGGGTTCAACATCTGAACTACTCTAGCTATAAGCCATCGTTTGAAACCATACTAAATCCGCAAGAAGGTCTCGGTAAGACTAAAAGAATCTTCAAAAAAATTTGTTACTATGGATCTCTGCAGCCGAATTACGATTGTTGTACTCAATTTTTGAGCTGAAACTTCGTCCATCTTATACGTCTAAAAACTTTCAAGATATATCAAAGATCATTATATCTATCTAAAGACGAAATTGCAGAGCAAAAGTTCAGTAAAACATTTATAACTCGAGTCTAAAAAAACTATCTGTAGAACAATTTTTCCGCATTTTCTACTCTCATTGAGGCTTTCTTGTGGACTCAATATGAACTCTGAGAGCCAATTACAGTTCGGATAGTTTCCTAGTTAGTCTAAAAACCGGTAAGATAATAAATGCATTATCGTGTCAATTAATGATGGTATCTAATGTTTTATATTTTTTGTATGATAATGAAATATTTTATGTTCTTTGATTTACAGTTGACATTAATCAATTCTATTAATCATCTGATGATTTAACAGATTATCAGAAGTGAACTACATTAAATATTAATGTAGCTATTTCATAGTATAAAAATGAAAAAGAAATCATTACAATTGGTTTTAGTAAATTTTTAAATACAAAAATATATAATTTCAGTTTTAAGTTTATGTGAAAATGAGTAAATTAATTGTTAACTTTTTATCGAGAACTATATATTGGCTTTGTTCCATTAAATTGGTCAATAGCTTCGAATCGAAAAATACCAAATTATGTATCGTATCGAATTTTAACAGAAAATAATATTCTTCATCATGTTCAAATGTCCCTTTTAAAACTATAATTGATGATTATAAATCAAATTAGTTTAATCAAGAACTAAAAGAGTATTTTATTAAACAAACTATTGGCTACATTTTCATTGTTATCGTAGCGCCCTCACCTCTCATGTCATGCTGTTTGTGTAAAACACTCCAATCAGTGTAATGATATGATGAAATCATTCCAACAACTTGATATTAATGACGAACGATTAAAAGAACTTTTAGGCAAAATCTTACAATACTACTATTAATTCTATTGATAAACTTGTTGAATCTCTAGCTACTGATTGTGTAACAATATTTATTAAGGAAATCCTATCACTTGTTTTGTATCTTCTAACAATTGTGTCTATGAAGTTAAATACTGAATTTGCTTTAAAATATCAACTATTTCGTGACAATATGCAAATGTTATGGTCAAAATTCCAAAAGAAAGTGAATGAAGATCTATTTGGTCATTATCATTCTATACATGCATCAATTATACCTGAATATGCAATAAATCTTGAACGATTTTCTTGTCCAAGTAAATTATTTTTCAATAGTAAACAATGATGGAAACAAGATATTGAAAATAAACGTATTAATACGGTAACATTGATGAATGAAATCAAAGTAAATCTTGATAATAAAATCAAAGATTATTATGGAAATTTTGTTCGTCTTTTTTACACATGGTTTGATCGAATGTTAGCTGCTGATGACAAAAGCCTAGTTCGTAGCTTCAACGAACGCTCTTTTCAAGTGGGAGGAAATCAAAAACTTGAAAACGGTCGTTTCTCTTAAATAACACATTTCTTGCGAAATGTAGGAAATTTTCTGCTTTGCTCTTTTGAGAATATTATTTTCAGATTCAGTATTAAAAAGTGAGTCTATGGAAAATATTTAATTGATTTTGATCTGAAAAGCCTTTTGACGGTGGCACTCTGAGTTTGTCTCGTTCAATTCGTCATAGTACTCATTACAAAAGTATGTTTTGCTTCTTTTTTAATTTCTTTTCTCTTGATTAGGAACCGTGTTTCTTTGAGTTCCATAGATGTTTTAGTCAGTATTCAATGACTTTCGAATTCAAATTTGAGTTTTGCCTGAAAAACTAATACAGATTCAAAATTAGTATAATCAAACTGAGTCATATGAAGTATCTTTTCAGTCAATTTCACAACTTTTATTTTTTGTCATTTTTTCAAGTTATGACCGGCGAAGTACGATTCATATATCAGTATCAAAAATGAAAGTTGTCTAATCAATTTAAAAAAATGTTTTATGTGGGTCAATTTTTATTGTACTAATTCTAAATATGTGTTAGTTTTTCACGTAAAAGCCTGATTTGAATTCGAAAATCACTGAACACCGGCTAAAAAGTATATGATACTCAGTAAAACACGAGTTCTTAGCACAAGAGCACAATTTTAAAAAAGCGATGACATACTTGTATGACAAATGTTATGATGAATCAAATGGGATAAAAAGCTTAGCCTTCTCGCTTAACTAAGAAAACTAGATAAATTTACAAAAGCAATCTACAGGTGCCGCAATTGATGTAACTCAAGGCGTCACCATCAAAAGGCTTTCTGAATCAAAACGAGTTTAATATCCTATATATACTCAGTTTTTGACGCTGGATCTGAAAATAATGCCTGCAGAAGTTGGGAAAGAGAGTGAAGCAGAAAATCTTGCGCATTTTTTAAGAAAAACAACAGTTTCCAAATTTCTAATGTTTTCCTATCTGAAAACAGCGTCCATTCATACTAGAAATTAGTTTTTTTGTGATTAGCAGCTCATGCTCTATGGAATCACATGCATAAAAAACGTATAAAAATTTTACTTGAGATTCGAATGAAAGAAAAGCAAACATGCATGCTAATTAAGTTTTATGAAAGTTTATTTTAACAATCGAACATTATTTAATATTACGTAAAACAATTTATGAAATGGAAGATGATGAAAATAGAAATGAAGTTTTATTTGAATCATCAGTTTTAAAAGTTTTACATATGATTAAATCAGATAATTTAAATGAAGCTGTCAGTGCAATCCCTGTGACAATAAGGAAGTAGTTCATGTACTAGAACGTGACTTTATTGATGTACAATCTTTGATTGTATATCAACAAAGTTTATCACGGCATGAAGAAGGAAGAGAAGCACAGAAGAGAGTGTGTCCAAATTTCTACCTCTATATTTCAACACTTCTTTTAGATTGATTTCACAAAACGTGTTCAAGAACTTTATATGGCTTCGAGAAAAGGTTCAAAAAAGAATGAAAGTTCAACATGTGTGAATATTGAAATAAAAGATTTTATTGAATTTGGTTATGAAATGAATGCTGATGATCTTTTACCTATATGGACACAGTACGTATTCGTTTTTTCGAAAGACTATTACTAGTCAGACAAAGTTGAAAGTTTCTATTACTGTACTATATAGAGACGAGAAAATAATAGTTGACTCTGTTAGAGAAGTAGGTAGCATCACTAACGTATCAATTATGAGGGAACATTCCAAAATGTGAGTCACTATTTGCAATCAGCTTTATGTCGAAGAGCGGGGGAGGGGAAGAGCAGCGGAGGTCAAGTGCAGACACTTCAAATTTTCAAAAGACTTCATAGAATTTCACGAGGTTTCAAGATTGAAGTTTCTGCTGGCTTTTTCTCGGCTTGATGATACTATGATCAGCTAGTTGAGTTCTACAAATTGGTATAATGTTGATTATGAATAGAAACTTGCACTGGCAGATCTATCCTGTTAGTGAGAAGTACGATTTTCAATTCTTTGTTTATTTCCTCATAGTCACTAGAATGATGAATGAGTAAATCTATCACGAACACATTATGTATGATGGCATGTAATAGTACATAATTTCTCTCTATTTTTTTCCATTATGACTACAAATGATTCCGAGCAAACGTCGTTCCTCATTTTATGAACTTGTTAAATCTACATAAATACTATATTAGGGAATAACTATTACGACCAATATTGTTCTATGCATGTGTCGTTCCATACCATTATTATCTAGCTAATGATAAATCCTAATATATTATTATTTATACTTGGTTATTTTATAATTCATATATATTTCATCCATTTCTTCTTTCTTGAAGAACTATAAGAACTCTGATATTAGCTTTCATGAATCCATAAATGTTTAATTCGTTGTATTTTCAGACAGAGAGATATCAAGATAACGATTAGTGACGAATAAATTTTCTCTTTAAACTATTTTAGAGAACAAGAGAATATTGTTCCATCAATAATTACAGATACTGATCAAATTGAACAACCAATCAAATATGTAGCTGGTTTAGATATAAGTTTTGTTAAAGGAAATGATAAAGCTGTTGCATCTATGGTTATTTTTGATTATCAAACATTAAATATTGTAGCTAAAATCAGTATTAATTGTAATTTGAAAATTCCATATATACCGAGTTACCTAGCATTTCGTGAAGCTCCAGTCTTTATGAAATTACTTGGTATTCAAAACGACCAGTGCCCTCATTTAACACCACAAGTTATTTTAATGGATGGAAATGGTGTTTGGCATCCTCGTCGTGCTGGTATTGCTTCACATTTTGGTGTTTTAAGTGGAATTCCATGTTTCGGTGTATCGAAAAATGTTCTTCATGTCGATGGTATTACACGAGAGAAAATTAAAGACTTATTAAGTGAAAAAGCACCTGAAAAAGATCAATATATTGAAGTCATTAGTGACAGTGGAAATCTTCTTGGTTTAGCTTATAATGTAACTGGCTCTGTAAATAGTGCTGTTTATATTAGTGTTGGACACAAAATAACATTAACAACAGCTCTTGATATATTCAAATCAGTGACTAAATATCGTAATTGTGAACCAATACGACAAGCTGATTTACTTAGTCGAGAAATAGTTGCTAAACTTTCATAACTAAAACTTTCTAAAAAAAAAAATATTTTTTGACTAATCTAGAATTTTGTTAAACAAAACCTAAGCTGACTTTGGTTTTGAAGAAAAGATGTTTAATTTATGTATGAAAAATACTAACGTTAGAAATTTCATTTTTTTTATTCTCTTATTTTTAAGAGTAATACTATTACGAGAATACAGTTTAATCATTTAGTCAACAAGTCTTTGTCAGATTATCTGGTCCTATCCTTACTATCTATGCTTTTCATTCGAAAGAAAATTCATTTTCTTGTGAATATAAGAGAAGAAAATGAAAATGACAAGATAGTAATGTCATGTTCGAACTACCAGGGTACAATTTATAATGACCATATATACCAAGGTCAAATAATCTGACAGGATCTCACCATTGATTCTGTAAGATCAGAAGGAAATCTTACTCTGCATCATACTATAGGATTGTAGAAAATTTTATGTGACAGATAGACTTTTCAAATAACTTATAATACAACATAGTGTAAGATTTCTGACATCATGGTTTTTTTTTTGTATAAGTTTTGTCTAAACTTATAAGGTTAGGCACATGACCTTGTAAGTTCTTACCATCTGCTTGTTCCACCTGGATTTATTTTTTTACAGAAGTATTTTATGTTGTATAAAATGCATATGTGCATTTATAAAAATTACAAAACTAAAATGAAAACACAAATATGTACTTATTAAACATAAGCGAAAAAAGAAACAATATTGAAAGCATTTACTTCTATTGAATTCTGACAATAAAATTATCTATAATAGCGGAAAAGATCCGTCTTAAAAAAAAAACCTTAATTGCATTGATTAAATAGTAAATATGATTTAATATAAAGAAAGACATAATTCCAAGGAAGAAGAATTCATTTATCATTGAATCTGATCAATAAAATCATCTCAATGAAAAAAAAAAATTTAGGATCAGAACCAAATGAAACTCAAACTACTTGATGTATAATGAAATAAAAAAATTTATAGACTTTTTTTCTAATGATATAAAAAATAAAATACAAAACTTGATGATACATGGTTAATTTATAAGATCATATAAATACATAATCTATATCTTTAATCATTTGATTTGCCTCATAAAATAGTTAAAATGTTAATATGCAAGATTTTTCTATTGCTTTTATTCGATTAGAATACTGTTTCATAATGAAGTTTTTCGGCAGTTATTACTTGATAAAGTTTTGCTATTGACTTTGAATAAGAGCCGCAGTTTTACCCTCTGATCTTGTCATTATTCGCTCAACATGGCTATGAGAGAAATACCTTCGTATATATTTTGATCATTCATGCATTACGTGAATAAATGTAAACGACAAAAAGATAGATTAATAGAAAGAATATAGATATGAAATCGATCAAGTGAATGCTGCAAGAACGTTTACCTTTACAAAACAAGAGATATTCATCACGTACAGGTAATGTGCAATCATAGAAAAAAAAGCCTACTGACTCACAATGTTTTGTCTTTGAATAAATGAGAATAGGATTAATCGTTAGACAAAAATTTTGAGTAGTTAATATTCAAAACCATTTATAAATATCACTTTACTTTCTCTTTTGAGCAGCTACCAAATTTCCACCATCATTATGACTTTACGACGATCCATCATGCTATTTATATCCTACGTTTATCGATCGATTGCATCCATTAATCGAAATTATCGTTGTTGGATCTTTGTTATTGTTGCAGCGACAGCATATGTTATTATTTTTGCATCCTTGTCATTAAAAAAATCGGCACTGAGTTCAGAATCAATTTTTGTTCATAATGATTTACGACAACAACAACGGCAAGACCAGAAAACAAATGAAAATATTCCAAATAACATCAGAGAATCATGTTTATCTTCGTGCATAACTAAAGCTTCTTATAAAAGAACACTGTAAGTGTCTACTTCATTTAATACAGAAAGAAAAATCAAATCAGAAAATAACTAATTTTTTTTACCATTCTTTTAGAAGGAAATCTCGTAAAAAAATATCCCCTGAAGCACGTTCACGTTATTCATTTATTGATATTGATCAACTTAACGTTGACATTAATTATCTTGATAAAATACATCATCCGTCACAATTATTAAATATTAGTGTTCCACCTGTAAAAAATCAGCTAGATTCATATATACTGAAAGTTAAAGGTAATCCATCTGTGATCATATACAATCGACTACCACAATGCTATGAATATACCATGAGATCATTATTAGAAGGTATATCTTATCTTCACTCGTATAGTTATGTACCAAGTAAAATATATGTTCCATTTTCTTATAATAATTCTGCATTAACATCAATAGCAAAATCATTAAATAACTATAAATTTAACCAATTAATATACGAACGGCATATATATTTTTTTGATTATCATACATTAAAATTTCCCAATCATCCTGTATGGATTAATTTAGTTCGTGATCCAATATCTCGACTAGCAGCAGAGTATCAACGTTCACGTGAAATTTGTCGAAAGACAAATCGTTGTTTTGTACAAGAAGATAGACTAAATGAAACCCTTGATGAATGTGTTGCAAGACGATCAGCAAACGAATGTATTTCATCTCAAAATGGTATTGCACGAATGTTACCATTTTTTTGTGGATTAACATTTCCAAAGCGATGTCAACAAGAAAATGATTGGGCATTACAAAAAGCAAAACAAAATATTAATGTTTTCTATACGGTTGTTGGTATTGCAGAACACTTTTATAAATTTCTATATGTTCTTGGTATGTACTTTTGTTTCAATTTAAAATAAACTGAACTATACTGATAAAGTCTTGTTGTTTATTCTGAGATGATTTTTTTTTCCATTTAGAACGACTTTTACCTAAGTATTTTAAACTTTCTCGTCTTCTATTTATGAATCAACAAAATTCAAAACTAATGGCAGATGAAAGAGATTTAAATGTTCAACTTCCAAATAATACTACAAGAGAAATTCTTATGCCACTTCTTAAATATGAATATGATTTATACAAGTATATCAAAAAGCGATTTTTACGTCAATATGAGATATTGCTTGAACTTGATAATTGAATTTTGTTTCATAATAAAAAAGAAACATGTTTTTTTTTTCAATTGTTTAGACTTGTTATGGAATTATCAAGAAAGTCTTTTGAATTACATGAGAGTTTTCATTGACGATAGTCGATTGTTAAGCAAAGGATACTTCAAAAAATAATCATCGAAAATATCTTAAGTTCGGTTGGCTATGAATCGATTCTTTTCAGTAAAACTCAAAAAGTTAATGTAAAAAATCTATTAATATCTATTCAAAAAGTCAATAGATTGGGTTGTTCCACGAATAACTCAGACGTAGAAGTAGTTGGCACTCGGTAATTTTAAATATTTGAAAGAGGATAGAAACTTTATCAAACAGTGACCAATTCTCAACATTCATTTCGGAAACGATGCTTACAAAAATTTTCCATTGTATGTTGACTTTCAACTTAGCCATTAGAGAGAAAGAATCAAGGCCTCTCTCAATCTACAGGCAGCCGTGTTTCCCAAACAATTCCTTTGTGACGCTCGAAATCGATCAACTGACTACTAATGAGTGTGAAATGAGCAAATGTCAAAGATTTTGACATGTTACAATAAGCGATGATCTTTGTTTTATTTTTTAAAACAACTGGAACTAATAAAATCGATATTATTATTAAAATATATTTTTCCCACGTAATACATATTTAAACACCTGATGATTTTGAAATTTTAGTTTAGTTTCTCATGTTGCTTTAAAATATTAACACAAACATCATCACTTGTTTCAGCATGATGAAAACCTTTGATATCAACTCATTTCAAATTGACCATTAATTAGTTGATCGATTTTGAGAGCTTCGGAAGAACACGTATACCATGGCAACAAAACTGTCGAGAAAGGTTGACTTTGATTTTTTCTATCTAATGAGTATCTTGAAAGTCAATACAAAATGGAAAAATTTTTATGTAAGCCGTTTCGAAAATGGTCACTGAGAACTGATCACTATTTGATTGTTTAATTTTCACATGGCTTGATAAAGTTCTCTATCCTCTTTCACATATTGAATATTACAGAATGCCAGCTATTTCTTTGCTTGATATATATTCGTGAGACAATCAAATTTATTGAACTTTCTGAATGAATAATAGATTCTTGCTATTTAACTGTGAATACAAATTTATCTGTCTATTTTTGAAGTAATGACTTGTTTAAAAGTAACTCGAGTGTTTTTGCTTGAACAATTTTTATGTTTACGTTTGAGTCACTTTCAAGTTCTGATTTCTAAGACAAAACATTTTTTAATTAAACTAATGCTATTTTTGTTTTTGGAAGTCTCATCAAATATTATCGTTCGACGAAAAATAGCGAGTGACGGTTTAAAATCGAAGGCTTCTGGCTTTCTCTAATTACCTGTCAATCGTTACCAACGGTTAACAATCATTTAGTAGAATTCTCTAGCAACCGTTAAGTTCATTTCGTTAGTAGTTAAAATCAAAGGCTAACGAATTCAACTGAAGTGTTTAACGTTAACAATTATCGAAAAACTATTACACCCATTTTAATGTCGATTGTGATTTTTATACTAATCGGATTTTATGAGATTTATTCATGGAACTGGAAAAATAGGAAACTTTTATAACTTTGCCGTCAAAAAATAGGAAAAAAAAAGGACATGTTAAATGATTAGAGACACATATAAATTAAACTATTTCAATATCATTGACTAAAATATACATTTCCATCGAGTAAATGCAATCAATTTAATTTTTAAAACGAAGTCAGGTAATTACTTTGATGAGAATGCTTTGTTTTTAATCAATAAAATTGAAATACATTGATATACATGCCTCTTTCATCATTCAGAATGTGATTTAAAAAAATTTTTTAGTCCCTAGAATATGTTATTCTCGTATGAATTACTCTGATAAGTTTTGTTGTAATCATTTAGACTTGTTCTAAAGCAAAAATAAATTTTCAATTTCTAATATGAGAATATTTTTTTCATTTCATCATAAGTTTGATTGCTATTCTCATTTCTGTTTCATCACTTTGTTCATAACGCGTTTAAAATGTATTCTAATATATGCGACAGCTATATAATTTAATTGTAATGAATCTCATCAAGTTTTAAATAATACAAGCAAAGTGTATGAGTTAACAAACAATGAAATGTTAAAATTCCATGTCATGTTGACAATTTATGAATCGAAAATTCTGCATATTTGTTGCCATTAGGGTTAAGAAAAATAGTAGTCATTCACTTAGTCATCAAAACATTTTTTTTTCTTCACATTCAAAAACAAAAATTGATTTATGCTATCATCTTCAATGATGTTTGAAAAAATACAGACTTTAGACATAGAAATTAATTTTTAGTAAAATATACTCATGATAAAGATAGATTTGAACAAGTTTGGAATTTATATATGTGAATTAATACGTACTCAGAGAAAATTACGGAAGACAAACACTCAATTTCATGAAGATATTTGTACAGCAAATGGAAACCCACTAACCATACATCCAGAAAGTGCTCAAATTCTTTCTTGTACAAGTGAATCTCAATTGTTAGTAGAAGACTCAAAATCTTCTAGGAAAAGCGAGGGCTGTTTAGTCCTTCGTCTAATTTAACACTGCTGGCTTTATTAGAGTCGTTCATTTTTTCATAGATCCACAAAGGAAGAAAAGTACTGTTTTGATTTCACCTCAATGAAACTCAGATTCTTCCTAGTTTTAATTTTTTCCACAATATATATATATCTATAAGAATCAAGATCAAGAAATTTTAATAAGCAATTACTAAAAAAAGAAATTTCTGCAAAAGATGCACTCATGATACATACAAATGTGCTTATCTCATATCATATGTTGTCTAATCGACACTTGTACTGTTTAGTATTCAGTTGATCATAACCAATATGAATCTGCACTATTACTTATTCGTTACAACTGATTCAGAGCACTGTTAAATGATAAGTAATTATGAATAGAAAAGATTTTCATATAGATGCATCATTCATTTTAATAAAAGAATAGTATATTTATCAGATTTGTCTTTTTGCTCATTTCTTTAGTCTTTAATTATAAAAAAAAAAAGAAAAACATGTGCACCTAATAATATTTATATACAATATATGAAGTGAAATATGAAAATTATTCGAAACCAAAACGTTTCTCTCCGCACTCACAACAAAACTTAGCCCATTCAACAGGAAAAGCATTACCACATTCATGACAATGTTTTGCTGCTGTCGATGCGACCGGTGCTTTTGTTTTTTGTTGTTGCTGCTGATTAAAACCACCATTTATATGTGATATTCGACGTGCTGGACTAGGTGATCGTGTTTTCGTTCCTGTTGTCCGTTGTTGTTGTGTTTGAAATCGTGGTGAAACATCATTTTTTTGTTGTTCTCGTCCAGCAGCTGCCATTATATTTAAACCATCATTTTCAGTTGTTCGACCGGTACGCATCATACCTGGTAAATAATTACCAGCTGCACTTCGTGTTTTTGTCATTCGAAGACTACCATATTTAGGTGGTGTACCATTTGTATTCTTTCTCATTGACTAATTGAATTGAATTGAAATGAAATATTATTTTATTTTTATTAAAAATAATTACTTCATTAAAAGTTGCACGTTTAAATATATTAGGATTTAATGGTGGTCTTCGATAATCTTTTTCACCATTTATTCTGTAAATATATTTATATAATATAAAAACAATCAATAAAATAATACATAGATATTACTTTTGAGGACGTCGTGATACTAATGTAGATGGTGCTGAATTAGTTTGATGTTGCTGTTGATTTATACGTCCTTGTTGTCCAATACTTCTAACAGGTGTACGCATATTATTTGTTGATGTTGTATATTGCATTTGTTTTCGTTTAAATTGTGTTTCACAACTGAATATTATGATTAGATATTTTGTTTTAACGAAAAAAGAAAAAGAATTTCTTACAATGGAATATGTCTTTCTGCTGAATATTGATTAAAATGACGTTGACAATATTCACATTGAATATAATCAGTTGGAACTTGAGATGGTGTTTGTTTAGGTATTGGAGCACCGGTTTCTATAGCTCGTGTTACTTGTCGTGCTTCACGAATTGTACGAACAAGTTCATTATGATCTTCTCGCCAATTACTTGTTTTTTTCTTTTGATTATCTGCTTTAGGTTTTATACCATCTTTATAAAACTAAGATTTAGATGATATTAGAAAATAATATATATATATTTCAATGCTATTTATTTTCTAAATAAAACCTGTATAGTTTCTTTTGTTGCTGCATAAGGTACATCGGAATCTCTAGCACGTTGTTTACCCGTATCGAATATTTTTCGAGGTTGTTTTTGTGATGATTTTTTACATATTGGTTGATGTTTACGCTAAGAATTTAGAAAAGAAAAAAGTAATAGTTGATGAGTTTTAGTTTAATGTACCAAAGATTCAGCATTGAAACAACGACCACAATTTGAACAAGGATATGTTTGAATATCAGCATAAACAGGAATTGCTTGATTTTCTGTTACCTGATAAGAATTTTCAAGGGAACTATGCTTCTCTGTTCCATACATATCACTATTGACATCCATCACGTTGCATGGCACAGAACTCTTTATTACTTTTATTTTTCTTTCGTTCTACTATGTTTATAAAAAAAAAAACTTTTCTTCTTCTTCTTCTTACAAATGTATTATTTAAAAAGAGATCAATTTTTTTTTTCTTCTGTCTCACATAAAGGATTAATTAAAGAAAAGAAAAAACAAACAAAGACGAAGTTTTTTTTAAAAACATTATTGGTACTTCTTCAGATCAACGACACCTCCCCGTATTGGTTGAACAATAAACAGGAGAGGAAAATTTTCCTTTCCTGTTTATTGTTCAACCAATACGAGGAGGTGTCGTTGATCTGAAGAAGTACCACATTATTCTCTCTTTCTTTTGTTTTTCTTGTTTAATAGATGTCTCCTTAATATGGATATTCATAAAAGGAAGAAAGATTGTTCGAGAACGATATCTACCAATTCAAATTATGTATCTGTTAGTTATTTATCAATCAATTTATTCGATCAGTCAGTCACTGAACGAGTATACCTAAGTTTTTGACATAATATCGATCTTTAATTTTCAAGTACAATCATGTTGTCAAAAACGATAAAATATTTTGCTCGACACAGTTTGTCAACTAATGTATAAACTAAAAAGTTTTTGTAACAAAAAAGTTTGCTAATCAATTTTAATTCAAGGTTTCATCTCATGCTCGAATATTAGAAGGTTTTCGTGAAGCTATTGGAAAGTAAAATTAACTCGTTTTTTTGGGGGGGTTTTTAATAATTATTTAATTTATTAGTACACCATTAATTCGTTTATCAAAATTGAGTCAAGAAACTGGTAAATATATCAAATATAAATCAAAAAAAAAAGAAACTATTTTTCTATCATTTCAAGGTTGTAACATTCTTGTTAAAGCTGAATATCTTAATCCAGGTGGTTCAATTAAAGATCGTGCTGCTTTTTTCTTAATTAAAGAGGCTCTTGATAAAAGTGATATATTTTTTAAATTAATAATTATTTTAAAAACTATAATATAAAATTGAATATAGATTTAATTAAAACTGGTGCTACTATTGTTGAAGGTACAGCTGGTAATACAGGTATTGGATTAGCTCATATTTGTAATGCATTGGGTTTTAAATGTGTTATATTTATGCCTGATAATCAATCAAAAGCAAGCGATGAATAAATTTTTTTTTTATTATTATTTTTCTCTTCATAAAGGAAAAAATTGATATACTACGTGTATTAGGTGCCGAAGTAACAACAGTTCCTGTTGTTCCAATTACTGATCCAAATAATTATAATCATCATGTATTTTGTTTTGAATCAAAGAAAATATGTTTCATTCAAAAGAATACTTTTTTGTTTTTATAGGCTAGACGTTATGCTGAACAACGTGAAAATGCCGTATGGACAAATCAATTTGATAATCGAGCTAATCGACATGGTCATTATTGTACGACAGGACCTGAAATTTGGACACAAACAAGTAGAATAATATTTGTAATAGTGAAAAAACAAAAAAATCTTAATTTTATTTCTAGATGGTAAAGTAAATGCATTCGTGATGAGTACAGGTACTGGTGGAACTTTAGCTGGTACTTCTATGTATTTAAAAGAAAAAAATAGTAAAATTAGAACTGTACTTGCTGATCCACCTGTATGTGAATAGATTTTAATATTTGAATTTTTATCTATTACTGACATTTTATGTATAGGGTAGTGTTCTATATAATTATATTAAATCGGGTAAACTTGATCGAACTGATGGTTCATCAATTACTGAAGGTTTACTTGTTTGATTTACATAATTATTTATCTATATTTTATATTATTAGGCATTGGACAAGGTCGTATAACACAAAATTTACAAGATGCACCTATTGATGAATCATTATTTATCAACGATCAAGCTACTGTTAATATGGTATGATGAATAAAATACAATATATTGCTGTTAGAAATTTATTTTCTAATAGGTTTTTAAACTTTTATGTGAAGAAGGATTTTTTGTTGGTGCTTCATCAGGTTTAAATGTAGCTGCAGCTGTTGAATTAAGTAAATCAATGCCAAAAGGTTCAACAATTGTTACAACTCTTTGTGATAATGGACAAGTAAATATATATTTAATTCATTGCATATGATTTTGATACGTCACAAAGAAAGATCAATATTTTTACATATTTGATAAGAGAGAGTGCCTTGTCATAAATACTAAATCAAATTATGCAAGGCGTTAGCTTGGCAGAGTTTTTGTTCTCTTGCAACATATTACTTTTCTTTTTGGTACATTCGATGATTGATTTTATTTCGCTTTTTTTTTTTTTTTTTAGAAGTATTTTAATCGTTTATTCAACAAAAATGAATTAACAAAACGAGGCAAATATTTTTCTTGTTATATATTAACAAAACTAAAAAGAAATATTTATTTAGGTCTTCTCGATCAACTCCCTGAAGAATATCATAAAAATATTTTTTAAGATGAAATTCTTTTTTATATATAAAATATATTTATTCCGTTAGGTGCAATTGATGTTTTTCTTTTTAATCAATAAAATTCTCATCAATTTCTTTTTTTTTTGTCTAAATAATTAAATTTATATCTTGTAGAATGATAAATCATGGCAACTAAATTATTTGAATCAAAAAAACGATGTCTTCTAATTGGTTTGTTTTCGGGAATATTTATTACAACATTATTACCCAAATTAATAAATAAAAATAAATGGGAGACCAACAAACAACAGACTGTTCGAGTGAATGAGAAAAATGAACATATCTTTGCTGAATATTCTCAATGGCCACCATTTCTAACGGATTCAACATTTGATTTAGTTAGCATAATTTTTCTTTTTTAATAAAATAGAATGTTTTGTTTTTTTTTAAACATTCTACTTATATAGACTGCATGGCGTAAACATTGTTGGGTAAATCAAGTGTCGTTACCTACTCAAGATCCACAGTTATATTATAAAAAAAATTATACCTCATATCCGGTTTGTAAGTAAGTAAATTATGGACTAGCTTTTATTTGATTTTCTTTTTTAAATGCTACTGCTGATTTTTTAATTTATATAGAGATGTGATAAGTTTAATTAATTCGATTTATAATATGAAAACAAATATTGCTAAAGTAAAATATCCTGAATTATTTGCTCAAAAAATTAGAAAAATATTTAATTATAATAATACATTATATGCTAAAGCACTTGAACAGGTTTGAATATATAGATGTTGTTTTACGATTGTCTTTTTTTTTTTTTTTTTAATTTTCAAAAGGTAATTTTATTTACTTCGAGAGAAAATATCAAACCTTTGATTCTTTTATCTTTATAAATTTATTGAAATCGATGCCTAATAAATATATCTACAAGACCTTCCCTTATCTTGAAGTAGTATTTACTACCTTTTTCAAAATATAATGCGTTCCACTGATCTTTTTCTCATGGGTTTGAATTGGAATATCATAGAGACTTGTGATTTTCATCATCCAACAGAGAAAACTTAGGATCATCGAAATTTGATTTCTCAGCAATTATTCAATCAAACGAGTTCTTATTGGAGATTTTCTAAAACAATGTCGTTTTAGGTAGGGTTGACACTCCAAGCTTATTCCATTCGAGAGTTAAATGATTGTTTCTGAGACTCTCGAGTTCAACCAATTTCCCATGCTGAGTCGAATGATCATATTTATATTTAGATTCGAACTCATCTGACACGGTTATATCAATATTTCCGAAATGTCGATTCTGTCATTACATCGAGGCCGATAATAGAATTCCAGAAATGTTTAGTTAACATAGTCAAATCAGTTTGAACCGAAAAAAAATATATAACCGTTCCACTCAGCATGGTGAGTTATGTTTGCCTAGAAAGTTTTCGGATAGTAAAACGGTTATTATTCATCAATCGCAAAGATTAAATAAAAGTTCACATTGAATTGAATTCTAACTAAGACTTTGTCTTGATAGCTTAGTTGAAAACAGCATCTAGCTAGTTATCAATTGTAATAGTATCTGGCGTTGAATCCCCTTCGACACTTTTTTTTCTTTTTCATTCTTTTCAAGCGATGAATAAGAATCGTTTTACCATCTTTCATTCGAAAAATGAATAAAAAATGGTTCTATGATTTACAATTACACATACTTTTCAAGTGATCAATGGTAGAATGTTTTTTTCTATTGATTAGTTCTATGAAAAGTCTAAAGTAGAAGGAGAGTAGCTGCACAATATTGTTTTCGAAAATCTTCATCAAGAATTCACATGATCGATAATTTGTTGACAATCAAAATTCGATATACTTTGATGAACACATGTGTTCTCTATTGAATGACGAAAACTGCAGATCGTTATGATGTTCTTATCAAAAGTTATTGAAAAAATAGTAGAAAACATTATATTTTTGAAATGAGTGGTAGAATACTAAAAAAAACACTCATTATGCGTCCTAACTTGGATATTACGTTCTTTGATATAATCAATCGTCGCCTCTTTCTCGGTGCGATTCGATGAATTATCTTGATTATCAATCATTTTCTATCGTATATTATCAAGAAAAAAAAAAGCCTGGAATATCATGTTTGATATTGTGTCGAATTAGGTTTAACAAAGTTTACATCATAAGTACTTATTTCAGTCTAAATTAGTACAGCGACCGAACAAAAATAAGCATTCAGCTGTATATTTTCTGATAATGCATTAAGTCGAATGTAATATTCATCAACAGTACGTTGACTTGCATAAATGTCAAATCATACTTTATTGATAGCTACCATATTTTTTTGTCATCCGTTCTATAATCAACGCCAATATATATCTAGTGCTGGCTCATTTCTTTTCGATAACAACTAGATATAGTGTATCTATCGATCCTTTTTAATGATATATTCTCATACCCATACTATCATTTAAGAGTTTATATATAATAGCAAAATAATTGAAGAAGTTTCTTTAATTACGTACGATATAACATAACGAACAATTGTATTTGTTGCTACAAAATATCAAACATACAAATTTGATATTAATTATATCATTAGATATTGTTGCTTGAAATTGTTTGATACATTCAAATGTATTTATTATTGAATCATAGAATATGAATACTTTTTCTTCAAAACATATTTCATAATTCAAACCATTAGGTCCTATGTAAATAATTAATAGAGAATAACTCTATAAAAACTTTTCAAAATAAATTGAACAATTTCTATTTATTATGAGATTTCCTTACGATTAAAATCGATTATTGTTGAATCTTTACTCTCATTATAAAACAATGTTAGAATAATTAAAGACATAGAAATGCAAAGTCTAAAAGATTTTTCTGCCGTACATTCAAAAGATGACATGTTATATCTGTGCACGATGCTACATTCATCTAGAATAAAAATATATCAAGAAAATTTCAATTTCAAAATAATAACAATATTGTTATTTCTAGGAACTTTATTTTGTTGTAAACAAATATTCATTTGAACATACAGTTTATAATCCACTTCGTGGTCGTCGTCCTGTTCAACCACCTGAAGTATCTGTTGAACAATAGTAAGTTTATTTTTATTTTTCTATTAAAATTTTCTTTTTTTTAAGTTTAAGTGAGACAATGGAAAAAACATCTAAAAACTGTGATTTATGTAATTATCAAAAGTAAATAAATTCTTTCAACTTTTTAATTGATTTAATTTGTTGTTTTTTTTCTTTTTTGAATATTTACAAAAATAAAAGTATGACAGCAATGGATAGTCTTGGTCGAATGGAAAATCAACATGCATATTCAGCAGCTAATGCATTTAAATTTGATCAATGGCATTCAATGTTTATGCCCAAACAACATGATATTACAAAATTAACATATGAAGAATTAAAAGATGTTTTTACATTAGCTTGGAAATGGTAACAAAAATAATACTCTCCTTTTTTCTTGTTGAGAAAAACGCATAGAAATTCTTTCATCATAACTTCAATTGACATTCACTTTTAGAACTTATGTTGAGGACAAAAGAAGATCTTGTTGAGACTAGCAACACTTTAAAAGAGTTTTTCCCTCGCTAGTATCAGACGCTGATAAGAAAACATGTCCAAGTGTTAAATCGCTTTTCGACCGAAACGATATTCATTCGATGAGTAGTAGAAAAGTCTAGAACGGTTTGATTTTCCAAACCTTCATTAATGAGATATCAAAATTTGATTGAAACTTTCAACAAAAAGCTGTAGTTCTCTTCAAGCTACACGAAAAGCAATAGCCGAGTTAAGTCGATTTTCTATATGATCTGAGGGAAATTGTAGTTATTTGTTGAAAAATCAAGTAAACTTTCGATAACTGAAGGACGAAGGTCTGGAAAATCAAAGCATTCTAGGCTTTTCTACTACTTATAGAATATATATCGTTGTAGTTAAAAGCGATTTGATAGTTGGAGAATGTTCCTTGGTGAATTATGATCGATTGATTTGTAAGTAGTTTCTAAAAAATCACATTACAGAGGTTTGATCTCAAACCTCATCAATAACCTATCGGCAGAATTTGAGATCGAAACTCTGCCATTTCGTTTTTCTGAAAGTGTTCTAAGCATGATTCGAAAGTCAAGTAAACTGGCCATCACTTGCTGTTAAAGGTCTATAAGAACGCACCTTTATCGCCTTTTACTAATCTTACAAAAAAATGATTTCTTTTTCAATACCTATTTTTATTAAATGTAGGTTTCAAGCAGCTCATAAACAATCACCATCACATCGTTTTCCTACTCTTCTTTGGGATAGTTTACCACATGGTGGTGCTTCACAAGTACATCCACATATTCATGCAACATTGCATTCAGATCATTATTATGGTTCGATAAAATATTTTCGTCTAGGTTGTGTTTTTTTTTAATATTAATGTCTAATTTTTATTTAAAGGTCAATTTGAATCAATACGGTTTGCATCTGAACGATACTATCGTGAATATGAAAATGTTACTACACATAGACAAAAAAATTATTTTCGTGCAATACAAGATATTCATATGGCATTCAATTTAACAATATCATTCAATGGTGTTACAGTTCTTATACCTATTGTAAGTCATCAATTATTGTTAATATACGTTGACGATCACTTAATATATTTGGTTCACTATCAGAACGTTGTTTTGAATGATAACGATTTGATGTTGATGGTTCAATAAGACTTGTTGTATTTAAATTTGAATTTGATTGAGTATTTATAAGAGATTGTCGAATATGACAAAGACCATTATAAAGATTTGTTAATTTTTCAGTTAATTCAATATCATCTTGACGAATATATTTCTAAAGAATTAGAAAATTCAATTTTGAATACACAATATTTAAATCCATATGTCTTCATACTTAATTTCAATCGATTATTTTTCCTAACCAATGTCTCATATTTATATTACAGATAAATGTTCGATTATTTTACTTATGTTAAAATTGTAGCACTTATTGAGTAAAAACTTGTCAAGTAAACTACAAATATATCTTATGCACTTATGTATCAGTACAACTAAAATTTGTTGTTTTCCATATGTCTCTGTTACTTGATATTTCATTTCAGATCTCAGATAGTAATTAGTTGCCGTTTGAGCATGGTTTATAGAAGGAAACATCTTGAGATACTTTATTCTGTAAGCAATTTGTTTATAATATGAATTAGTTTTTCATGTTATAGCTCAAAACTGATAGAAAAAATGTTATGATTCCTTGTATATATTTTCCGATATAGTAAATAAGATTTATCATTAATTCTAAAAAAGAAAAAATGATTTTTCTGAAACAACAGAAGAGAACGACATTTTCAAATGCGCCTGTCTATCATCAATCTAACTAATGTATAGATAGACATATGTTTGATTGGTTTTTCCTATGATATCAGATAAAGTTCATACATTTGTTGATTTTCTTATGTTTTCAAAATAGTTTTTTTTATAATTCGAGCAATTATACATACTAATTGTTCTTGAATTTGTGTCATCAATGATGATATATTATTATCATTTTGCTTATTAGTTTCAGCCATGTTTTTAAATTATAAACGTTGTTCGAATAATTATTGTTATTCTGTTCTTGATTGTCGCGTCACATCACTTTTACCTCATCTTTACAACCCAATCGATATGCATATATATATATATATATTTATATTCAACAACACATTATCGTGTCTCGTCTTCATACTCCTTGCTTGTATATTCTTTTTTTTTTTTCTTGCTGTCTCAATATGTTGTACCATATGTAAAAAGATGAAGAAAAGAAAGAGAGATAATATCTTCTAGTAGTTATTTTTTCTCCTTAAGCAATAATAGAAAATGATAAATTTGTCCTTTTGTTCTGTTTTTTTAGACGTCACATAAAGAATATGATATAATTGTCTTAGCAGAAAATTTCGATGAACGATTTATTAAAGTAATTTATCAAGTAATTCAAGGTTTGTGAATTATTTTTAAAATATTTAAAGATAAGATTTTATTTTTTTTTTTAGGTTATTTTAATAAATTAAAACAATTTAGTTTTTCTTCATGCATATATTTACCACCATTATCACCAAATCAAGATGATAGTGGTTTAACTCCTGTTTATTATCGTATTGTACCTCGTGGTCAAATATCTAGTCTATTATCGGAAGTTTCAAGTCTTGATTTACTGTCCATATATAATGTTAATAAACTTCCGGCAGATCTATTTGCAGAGATAGTAACTTGGTTTAAAAGAATATAAACGTTTTTTTTTTTTTTAATATTATATTTATTTGTTTATTAAACTGAACATTCTTGTTCTTGTTCTTCTTTAAGTTTTGCAATTCGTTTTAAAAAAGTTTCAATTCGTTTAGATAAATTTGTATCATTAATATTTTGTTGAGTTTGATAATAAGTTTTAATTTTGGATTGTTTAGCTGTAATAAGTGCTGATCTTGCACGTTCTATTTTTGATTTCGTCATAGTTAAATTTAATTCACAATCATTCGGATCATATGATGGAATTTTACCAGCTCGTAAAGCTAATTTTAATTGTCGATAACGTTTAGCAAATATTGGATCATTTAATTTATGTTCTTGTATTAATTCTGGTGTAAGAAATGCATCAATTTCTTGTCGTCGTCGAATTGATTCTTGATATTTTCGTTCAAGTTCACCATCAAAAAATGTTGTTGGTACTTGTTTCATTTTATTTTTACGTTGTTCAGCACGCCAAGCTAAATATTGTTGACGAGCTTCATTTTCATCTTGTAATGCAAATACTTTTAATTTAACAGGCCATGTTATTCGATGACTAATTGATGAAATCATCGATGATTTTGTATCAATACTACTAATATTTGTTTCAGTAAGATGTTGAGACATAGTTGAAGTTGAAACAGCAGAAGACGATCGAGCAACTGAACGTTTGCCTGAAGTCAATCGAGAAATTGATATTGGTATAGCTTCATCATCACTTTCTATATCTGTTTGATCAGGTTTTTGTTCATATATTGTTTGAAGTGGTGCAGTATATGGTCGAGATATTGTTGATGCAGATTTTGCTCGATTTTGAGATCGATCATCATTAGAATGAGCAAAACTTGAACGAACACCGGGTAAACGAGGACGACAATGAGGAGTAGCTGATTGAATCTAAATAAATGTAAAGTTTTTTTTTGTTTTGTTTTTGATAATATAAAATAAAAAAATTCTTACTTTTCTATTCATAAAAAATTCATCAATATTACAAACAACTGTTTGATTTTCATCTAACCATTTTCTTAAATCATGTATTGATGTTCGCATTTTACATGCATTCATATCACTTTGATATCCAATATGTCGTTTAATAATTTTAAGACGATTATATTCAAGTTTATTACGTACTGTAGCATTAAATTCATTTTTTGTTAATTTTATTTTTGTTGATAAAATATTTTCCTCTTCAATATCTCCAACTTTTGGAGCTGAACTCATTTTTGTTTCTTTGTAAAATTAAAGAAAATCAATTCAACAATACCAAAATGTAACGACAAAAGAAAATGAAAATAGGTAATGTTGCCATCAAACGCGTGTTGATTTCTTTGAAACACTTGATTTAATACCATTATATGAGCAATCAGTAACAAATATTGTGTTTCTTTTTTGGTTTGCCATTGGAAACAAGATAGAAAAAAGAAAAAAACGTAGATGGAAGGGCAGAATGATTATAATAGGTCATCAATACGTAAGAGTCCAACGAATATATAGACATTGCACGAGTGAGAATAACGTCCAAAGTTCACCTACGTAAAGTAAAGATAAAAACTCAAAATATACAAACCAATTGAGATTTCATCGAGTAGTAAAGTACTGCATTTCTATCTGAACGAGTACCTATTTTATTGTAAATCTTTAGCATGAGATTCTTTTTTTTTCTGTATAGTAAAAAAGTCCGGAAAAAGTAATACATATATAATTTTTGATTCTCTATAAACGAAATTCTCATTTTTTGATCCTCTGACATATGATCATTAGGTTTTTGGTTGGTTTCATATCTGTTCTGGTAGCAAATGTACGAGACATCTTATGTTATCAAAAGTATTATTTTAGAATAATTAATTTTTATTGAAATTCTAGTCAAACAAGAACATGAAAAGTCCTTTGAAGATTCTAGAATCGAACTTTTATGCATTTTTAAGAATCATTCTAAGAATTGTAATCTCTGAAAAACTTACGTAAATTCTCCATAGATATGATAAAATTATTTTCGTAGATTGTGATTTTATCGGATGATTCTTTCAGCTTCGAAGAAAACATTTGACAAAGCTATGAATTTGTTCTTAAGAAGAAGATCAAAGTCAATCTGATCAATCAAGATACAAAGAATATATAAGTAACTGACGTTCTTGATTTAGATAAGGATGTTTTAGCATAACAGCTAGATTTTTCAAATAAGAATACAATTGCAGAGAAAAAAAATATATTCGCCGGAAATCAGAATAACATTGTTTTTTCATGTTTAAATTTAAGACAATCGATACGATCAGTCATGGCGAGAAATTTCAAGATTTTTTTTGATTACAGATAATCTTTTCATGAAGAAAGCTTTTTAGCATTGATATATGTAAAAATGTTTGCTACTTCAGATGATTCTTAATTAATTAATAAAGTAACTACCGAATATCTCTCTAACTATGCAAGAAAAAAGCTTTTGAAAAACTCTATGGTACCAACTGTATCTACGGTGAGATTTTCTGCAAATTCAAACTAAAAAAAAACTTCCTCTTGAAAGTCGTTTTCTAGAGATCATATCAAGCCCTGAAACAAAAACTTTTGTTTCACCATCATCTAGAGATTCTGAAAAAGAATTTTTAACGTTTGACATTGATTTTGAACTTCTTATTGGGTTACTAGAACACTCTTTCTTTTGCATACTCGTCCTATGTCATGTCACTAAGGAAAAACTAAATCGATTTTTTTTTGAAAATCTAGACGTGCTCAGAAAAATCTTTGGATAGGAATTTTGTAGCCTTAGAAATTGTCTACGGAAAACATCGCTCAGATTTGCTTCAATTTGGAGTTTTTTCTTAAACAAAAATACATGAAGTGAAAGTCGATGTCATCTTTTTACGTTAGTTTTTTAACTGATAATTCTTATGAACAAAAGTCTTTAGCATTGATTTTTTTCAGGATATCAAGAATAATTTGGCAAACATGAAACTTAATAAAATTAGCTCTAGGATAATTCATTATCTAGAGATACTCGTGTTTTATTTTTGCAGAGTTATATCATTAGCAATTAGTTTTGCCCATATATAAAAAGATGGCTAGTTTAAGAGGCTAATCTCTATAGGTTGAAGATGTATGTAAGCAAGTTGTCTTAGTTTCAATTGTAGTCTAGATCTAGACAAAACAAATTCGAATAGGAGTGTTGTCGCAGTATTGAAATTGATTATCTTGAATTGGCATATTTCTATATTACAATTAAAAATGTCAATTCAATTCTTTTTCTTTAGTATGGAATTATTATTAACACCAATGCTTACGGCCAATATAAGAATAATACTAAGCTGCCATCTTCGATTTTAGACTTAAATAGCATCGAATTTAAAAGTATTCTAAAATACTCATTTTTCATTTATATATTCAATTGGTGTATCACACTTCTTTGGGTGGGTTACTTTGGCTGAATTGTGCTTTGATTTGTACGAGTTATAGCATCATTCGCACAAAACCATTGAATACCTTTAAGTATAATCTTTAGTTGCGGTTCGAATAATTTTTTTTTTCGTTGTCTGAATCCAATTCTGGCAAATCGGGATCAAAATTGTTGACATATATTTCTACTCAGAATACTGATTCACATATTTTAGCTGCCGATATCCTGAAGTACTTTTACTTTTCGTTATATTTCGTATTTATGCTAAAATTTTAATTCGTTATCTGTTTGTATTCAGGATTTACTTAATTTCTTGTTTGGCAAATTTCAAAAAGTAGATTTTCGCTTAACAAGTTCGAAATATTTTACTTGAAAGTTCATTACTAAAGTTCTTAAATTTGATTACAAAACATTCAAGATTATTTATAATATCAACAATATTTCATGGACAAATCCGTTAACGTAATCCGATAACATTAAATCGAAACACGATAAAGCTGATTCTGTTGTCAACAAGGTTGTTTAGCACTCATTATATATTACTAACATTTGTTCTTGGTTAATCTTTGCCGCGATTCCGGTTTTTGATTCGAAATCATTCTGATCTGTCCCATTTATTTTATCGAATAATTATAATTTTCTAAATTTTTTATGTTCTATCGAATAGTGTTGAAAATAAAAAATATAGGACTATTTATCAAAATTTCAAAAAACCAGAAACAACTGCCGATAGAAAAAGGATAGTTATTTTCATATTTTGGAGTAAGCATATAAGGAGACAAAGAAAAATTGTATTAATTGATACTCCTCTCTTATGAACCATAAAAGACACTTCGAGAGTTTGAGAAGTAGTTTTTTCATTATAGAATTCAACAACCATCTCTTGAAAAGAACACGACAAACTTGTTTTCTGATGATACCAGTGACTGACTAAGGATGTAAACGTGTAGCTCTCTACTTCAATATTCATTTCAAAACGTACTTCATAATAAGGAATGTCGACAAGTAGAAAAGAAGTCTCTTCGACTAGATAAATCACAACATTGATAAATGGAGGGTTACAAGAACTTTCTTTTTTCTTGTTCGAGCAATTAAAAGATGAATTTGGCATGTTCAAAATTAAATCAGTAAATATAATGAAGAAGGCATCTATTCAAAATATATGATGGTTTTTAATTATAAGGAAGGTCATAATATCGAATTCGAATCTTTTTTGCATCTTCATAGAAAGTACGATTGAACCGAAGATTCACACTCACACAATTGAATGATTTATAACTTTTAGTCGATTGCTGTTGAGCAAGGAAAGAAGGAAGGAAATTTTGTCATAGGTATCTTCATATTATCTATATAAGTGAGCAATATTACAGAAAGGAAAAATGTAAAGAACAATGTTTTGTCATACTCTTATCTGCTATTCAATCGAGGATAGTAAGAGTTACAGATGACAAAAAAAAACTTTTCATTTAAACATTCTATAGTATAATGTTGTGTGGAATAAATTATATCATCTTTTGAATCAGCTGCACGCAACCTAAATGAGAACTAATTTCTTGTTTCAAGCGGGAATCAACTATTGTTATTGAAATTGACTAATAGGAAAATAAGAAATTTTATTTCGAGAGAGAATTGATTTCATCACTAAACGAACAACTCTATTGTACAAACCCTGGTAGAAGATAATGCAAACACGAAAAATATGAAACAATGTAAAGATACAAGTAATTGATTTCTTTTCAATTCTATAACAAAACTATTTCTCTTTGATGTCGTCATGATTGAGTGATTTCTACATTCATGATATATTGTTCAGTTCATGTATAGATGTTCTATAGTTTTCTATTCGAAAGTTGATACGATTCCATTCAATTTTCAAAAGTTTATGAGTAGCTATGGTTGTTGATTTGGAGTATCCTAATTGCAAAGCAATTGAAGCATCTAAAAATATTTTCATTCTCACATCAAAGGATGCAGACTCGAGTTTCCTTAAAATAATACAACAATAGAATAATTTAGAAATCTGTATAGTCTAAATATATATTGAACAAAGTACATTCACTTTGAAAAATATCGGATTATTCAATTCGAACAAATAGAATAGTTTATGAAGCGTAACACCGAAATTCCTATATATATTTTGTACTTTATAAATTTTAGATTTATGAGAAGATTCCTTCAACATTTGTGTTGTATTCTTATAACGATGGAATAGTTTATTTTTGTTAACAATTAAAAATTCAATTGTTATATCTAGCATTAATACACATAAAAAGAAATGCTTTTCTTCTTGTCATAAAAGGCTCACAATACAACAGATTTAAGAAGAAACTTTGAAATAGATAAGACGCCCGACCGTCGATTTCCGACACGCAAATGTAATATGGAAAAAATAATAAAAATAGAGAATGAAAGGAAGGATTCTCTTCCTTTCTTTGAAGAAAAATATCAGAAAAAGAATGTAAGTGTATCAAATAAATGCATAATAACGTATAGAACAAGAAATTAGCACACGTTCTATGTAACAAAAGAAAAGACAAACAACAACGAAGGTCTTCTTTCCTACTTTTTAAAATTGTCATAATTATAGCTTTCATCGTTTTAAACAAAGATCTAGGCTTTGCTATTAAAGAAAAGAAAAGAAATGCAATTTATTATCTCATTAGTTTTAATTTTGTTACGAAATTAATCATTTGACTACATAATGGAAGAAACAATTCATGAAAAAATGATTGTTATGAATGCAACATCATTCTCTTATACATCGAATATTGTGCAGAAGTTAGAAGAATTTTCACGTCAATGCAAAATTTGTGGAGCTCCTGCTTTACATAATTATTATGGTGTCCTTTCATGTTCACCATGTAAAATGTTTTTCAAACGAAATGCTTTAACAGGACAAGTTAGTTATTATAATATACTGTTTCCGTTTTTCTTTAATTTTTTGTTTAGAAACGCTTTGACTGTGTTTTTTCTGGTCAATGTGATGTTAATATTAATAATCGTCGTATATGTTCTTCTTGTCGACTTGCTAAATGCTTTACAAGTGGCATGCAATCTACTTTAATTCGATGTTCCTTATTGAAAAACATTAAATCAAAACAAAAACAGGATAAAATATTGAAATCCATTACCAAAACATCGAATATTTTGCAAAGGATACAAGAACAAAACCAACCACACCATGTAAGTTTCTTTGAACGAATTTGTAGGTTATTTTTTAAAGAAAATTTTGTTATTTGCTTACAATCAGAAAGAACTATGTTCTCTTTTTGTTATGCCTGAAATCAATAGTACAATGCAGTTTCTCACTGCTCAAATATCTGAACATATTTTAATAGTTATTTTCTTTTGTGTTGATTAGATAATTGATTTTGCCTTCCGCTCCAGTTAATGAAAGTCATAGTCCACTACAAAAAGGCGAAAATGAGATTCAATGTATGATTTAATCACTTATAATCAATATAGTTAATTGGTTAGCATGCCATTGCTTAATATTACTTTTGCTGACTTTCATCATCTTCTCTCTCTAAAAAGTCATGGATTTTGCAGAAGTATGATTTTTCGAGAGGTCGACACAAGAAACTATGAATTTTAGAGATGTCTTATAAATTTTAATGAACTTCAAAGAAGTAAAAAGCTTTTACAAGATTCAAAAAGAGATGTGAGTGAGAGTGTACACGTATAGAAAACTTAATCAACACGCCTACTGAACCGCCTCACACTTACACTACCCGTAATATTTTAATAAGGCTAGTGTAAGCTTCACTTTGATTATAATGTGTTTACGTTTTTAACTGAATATATCAATTTTATAGGTAGTTCAATTTTAGAATGAAATGCCGTTTTCCTAAAATTAAAATTCCTCTTAAACAATAACTTTCTAGAGATCTAGTTGTGAAAAATATTTTACATAGACCACTATTTATGCTCTATTCAATGGTTAAATCAAAACTTCTAAAAAACGTTCACCAAGAATAAGACGGACAGATTTTGTTAAGGTAATTTTTTAGAAAAATCGACTTTTGAGCTTGCTCTGTTGGAGTAGTGCATAAGCCGAATAAAGAAAACAAAATATCAATGTCTACATAATTTATCAATGGTTGCAAGAGTAGTATACTTAAATCTTGCTAGGAAAAAAGTCGATTTAAATCTGAGAGGAGTTGCGTAAAAGCACCCTATAACATATTTGTGTCTTTTCTTTCTCGTATTGACTTTATAAATCGGTGAGAAACCCACAAAATATTGCATTTTGATAGCCGAATAAAAGTAACAAAGAAGTGCTGCAAAACTTTGACGCACATTGGCGAGATGTTACCATTTGTCGACAATCGTGTGTGCTATTATCTAAATTTACTGAATAATCCTTATTACTGATGCAATATATAATGAGTCTAAGAAGGAAAGTGAACTACTAATTGTCTTCATTATTGAGTGTTCAGATGTATGGGAAAATATTCTAAAGATTCAAGTGTTCTACTTGAGCGTTACGAATGGATCCAGCCATCTTCTTAATGAAAAGTGTTTCTTTTTTTTTTTATGAAAGCATGAGTGTGTGCTGAAATATATTAAGGTAATTATCGAATTGCCAAAAAACCATGTATCGTTGCTAAAAATGAACTATTAAAGAAATATTAGCCCAATGTTGCCAAATGGTAACAGCCGGCTGGAAAGGGTTAAAAAATCTTTTTTACTTTCCTCTGCACATTCCAAATCCTTGACACTATTTCAGCGTAGCCAATTCATTCTTTTTTATTTAAAAAAAGCATTTTTAGCTATAGGATATGACACTGCTACTAGTTTTTTAATTAAGCATGTTTTTATTCTATAGGAAAAAATCACTTCTATAGATGGATCATTATTGTCAGAGAATTCTTTCTGGTATTGAATCTGTCGCTCTTTTCTTCACATAAAAAGTAAATGAAGAGATTTAAAGACAAAAAAAGCACTGTGTCATGCTCTACAACTTCATATGCTATTTTAAACAAAAGCAACTAAATATTTATGACAGCTTACAGAAAGGTTTATGTTATCAGTTGTCATGCTCACTCCTGTTTTGCTTGCGCATTTTCTTTAAATTCTAACATTAATTGGTGAAATAGAAGTCTCCGGAATACCTTTGTTTCTGTATCAATGTATACTAGAACAAAAATTTTTAAAACCATTTTGGGTGTACCTTATTTAGAAAATATTGAATGTTCCATATACGTATTGTCCTAATTAATTTATTTGAAATATTTTTATTTTCTACAGTCCTGTTTTATGTGAGATTTAAATATCTTTTACAAATTCATCATCGAACTTGAGAACAAACCCTAATTTAATGTTCCAATGATTCTTTTTCTTTCTGTGAACAGAAAGTCAACTCTCTGTAGTTAGAACATTTATCAAAACTTAAAATGAAAGACTGTGAATAATTATATATACATCAAGAGAAGAATCTTTTGTTTTTGTTTTTTTTTATTGATTTTTAGTTACCAACATTAAACCTTTTACAATCAGATAATTCAACATTGAATACCAATCAATGGACACTTCTATCAAATTTATTTCATAGTTATGATGAAAGTAAACTTCTTTTGATTGCTCAACAATTGATGAACGAAAACAATCTTGACAAATCTATGAAATCTATTGATTCAACACTTCCAACACAATTTTTCATGAAAGCTTATGAAACAACAGGAGACTATTTCAACTCTAATAATGATCTTCGTAGGTTATCATTGGATAATCATTATTCATTTCTTCGTAATGCTGCTGAAAGTATCAATTGCCTAGGTACAATATTTAGTTGGAGACGATCACAAGTTTACAAATGTAAACATTTTGTAAATGCTTGTATAGATCTTTATGGACAAGCTTCCGTAGATATGATTGAACATATATTAAAATATCTTGATTCAGATATTGTAATCATTAAACTAGCATTATCATTATTTACTTTCTCAAATAATATTACAATATTTTCTTCTATTACAACAATAAATTCAATAAACACACTTGACATTCTTCATATTCAAAATACTTATGCTGAAGTAACATGGAAATATATACTATATAAATATGGATTTCATCAATCTATTCAACGATTTATGAATCTTATTCAATGTCTTTTGGTTGCAACGAATGCTTTATATAAAGCACATGATATCGAGAAACATGAGAATGATATTGAATTACTTGTTGAAAATATTGAATTAGGACTTCTTTTAGATGATATTGAACACATCAATTAAAGCAAGAAGAATGTTACTGTTTGTTTAAAATCATCTGAAAATAATAAACTTATTGTAATGGTATTCTTTTATTTTTAATAAAATTCTTTGTCGTAAAAAAAAAGTTTGATTAACTTTTGTAGATGTAGTTTTAAACTAAATGAAAAATAATTGATCGTACTACATTGATATTAAATCGACTCATAAGACTATTTTCTATTTCATACGAAAGAAAAGTTTAGAAAAATGTCTACGAATTGCAAAACTTCACTTAATACTGGAATTGAACAGATTAATCAAATTAGGTTGCATTTCATTTGTAAAAAAATAAGTGCTAATTAGACATTTAGAATGTATATGATGATTATTAATAATTATAAATTCATATCGACTAAGAGGATTGTATGTAAATTTTATTTTTGAAAGAATAAAAATTTAAAAGTAAAAAAGAATCTATTCATTGTAACTACCCTCTTCTCTTTCAACATTTTGTTTTTGTAAACATGTTACATGACGAACATGATATGGCACTACAATTTAAATGTAAAGTAAGAATACCACGAGTTTTTCAATTGACACGAAAGTTCCTTTAGCCTATATCTAATATTCAACGAATAAAAGAATAATTTAATCACTAGATTAATATGAAGGATTATTGTTAATGCAGTCTCAGCTATTTCTTTACAACAATAAAGAAAGGTACATGTTATTGATTAGATAGCAAAGAGTCACGAGTACCCATTGTAATTTGTTCTTTTTCAACAGAACACATGTTTGATCTTGGGATATGCTTTGTTCTATATTGAATGGGTATTCTGACACGTTTTCTCTAGTATTTTTCTTACGAGAACAGAAAGAAAATCTTTAATCGTTCTTTGTTTATATTCTCTTCCATTAGACATTTATTTGTTAAAAATTGTTAGTTTATCGCCTATATTTTTTCGCATTAAATTTTTAAAATTATCTAACCATAAAGCTCACACGATCAAAAGATCTCTTGTTTTTAAGTTTGGTCATAGCGAAGATAACAATAAAAGCATTATTCATCGCTACTTATAAATCATTAAATCGTTTTAAGAATATTACACAAAGGTTAAGAAAATCTTCGTAGCAATGCAAACTTTATGAAGTACCAACTATATATTTGAATTTTGATGCTCTTCATACAGAATAGTTTTCAATTGTCATGTAAAATGAGACGAGTTGATCTTGTAGACTTGATAGATGTTATGTTAATCGAATACGAACTAAAGTGATTCGATGTTCTAGAATAAGAAACACTACAACAAGACACAACAAAAAGTGATTGAACTAATGATGACAATAAATACTTTAGTCAGAAGAAATCTATCATAGCAAGTAAAATTTTTTTGTCTATTATTTTTCTGGAAATTTAGAGGGATTAATTTGTCTGTATTGTTGATTATGATAAACAATAAATAGAAATAGAATCATTAGGTTTTTAAAATGAAGATAACAAACAAGTAACGTTCATCGTCAAGCGATTCACTTAGCCCTAGACTGAT